TTGAGACTGGGTCTTGCTCTGTCACCCAGGCTGGAGTGTAGTGACATGATCACACCTCACTGCAGCCTCCACTCTCCCAGGGCCCAACAGTCCTCCCACCTCAGCCTCCTGAGTAGCTGGGACCACAGACACGGGCAACAAGTTTGGCTAATTTTTGTACTTTTTGTAAAGACAGAATTTCACCATGTTGACAAAGTGCTTCTTGTACCGTTGTAAATGTACAAATAAATTTGTAATAGTGTAAAGTTCGCTGGAAAATGTGGTTGATTTCACCTTTATTTAATTCTTTTCAATGTTCTCTTGGGGCAAGTGTGATACTCACTAAGTATGGCTATATTGGGATGGGTGCTGCAGAATGCTTTCGGAGGGAGGTCAGAAACACCTGGAGTCAGCTCCTTCCCCAGCTCTCAACTCTACCTTCTACCCTCTACCACCCCCACCCTCTAACCAAAAGACCAGATCCTCCTCCTAGCAGCAGCCAGAACGCTCATTTCCCAGCCAGGGCGGGTCACAGCTCTACTCAAAGACCTCCAACCACATCCCTTTACTTAGACTTCACACTCCCCCATGCTCCCCACCCTCTTGACCCCTCAGATTTATCCCTCTACCCACCCACCCTCTAATCCAGCCCTTGGCCTCCGAGAGCACCTGCCGGCGCTGCCCCAGGGCCTCTGTGCTGCTGTGCCGCCTTGCTCAAGCCCCTCTCTGTTCAGGTCTCCTGCTCAATCATCTGCTCCTCAGCAGCCCCTCCCGGCCTGCATTATCCACCCCTCCAGCCACCGTGCCCACAGGCACTCACGATTTTTCTCCTAGGAAGCAGTACTGGCATTACACTGTCTAACACTTCCTTTTATTATTGCTTTGTGTTTCCTAGAAGAATGGAGGCCCGGGGAAGGGAGGTAATAGTCTTCCTTGTTGAGAAATCCATGCCCAGTGCCCAGATGGCCTGGGAGGGGCCATGGACTCTGGGTTGCTATCCTGCACCCAGGTGCTCCTGGGAACTCAGTTGGGTGCTGGAATGGACCTTGGAGGGCTTCGAGCATCTGAGTGGCTGTGACTTGGGGCAAGCCTCTCTGCACCCTAGGAGGGGTGCAGGGATGTAGCATTAGCCCAGTGGAGGGACAGCAGAGGACTGTGTCAAAGCCCCCCTGGGGATCCCCACCACAGCAGCCTCCTTGGCCTGCAGGGTGGGTTGCAGGGTGGCAGGAAGCCATGCTTCTCCAGGCATCCTGATGCACCCAATCCTTGTGTCCCTCAGGTACTGCCATGACGGAAGCTAAGAAAGGCGCAGGGGGCCGTAGGTCTGGGTGCCTCATGTCCCGGGGGAGAGAGCCTGCCTGATCCACCTCAGGATATGGGCTGGGGCTGGATGGTCTAAGCCTCCTCTTTTCCTGAAATGCAGGCAGCTGCCAGGCACAAATCTCCAGTCCCTGGAGTTGGGGCCCAAATTTGAAGAGCAAGATACAGCAAAGGGCATGGTGTCAACGGCTCAGTCCCCAGGGTGCACTGGGAGGGGAAGGTTCCATGGCAGGACATCTGTGTGGTGACTCCGGGGGTGACAGCTCCAGGTGGAGGCTGGGCAGGACGACTGGAGGTGAGGAGCAGGAGAACACCAGGATGGGGAAGTAGGAGCCCCAGGGACAGAGCACTCAGGGAGCAGTGGCCGTCCCCAGCAGCAAGGTCTCGGCCAGCAGAGGAAGCAACGCGGGGACCACGGACCGCTCCGAGTGTGCGGCGTCGGTGGTGCCGGCGGGGGGCGCCAGGTCGCACGCCACCGTGTAGGGCTCCAGGCAGGCGGCAAAGGCCATGATGTGCGCTAGGAAGCTCTGCTCCTGCACGCCATGAACCAGGTGCCCCTGCGGGCAGCGCGCGAACACCGCCACGTCTTCGCCTGCGTGTGTCTCTTCGTCCAGGGGTACTCCTGACTGCTGCCGGTACTTGGGGCTCCCTGGTAGGAGGGTTAAGTTCCGGTAGGAAGGTTCAGTTCCAGGCAGACAGAAGGTGACCCTTTCCCGCCAGTCCCCCATCCTTGGCACCCTGGTCCCCTTCAGGGGGCGACCCCGCGGCACTCACCGCTCTGGCTCTCGCTCTCGGTAACATCCGGCCGCGTGCCCTCCTTGAGCACATAGCCCGGACCGTTGCCATATAGGAGGGCCGTGTAGGCCTTCCTGTCCTGGGCCTTGCCGGGTGCCAGCCCTGCAGAGAGAGGGGTCCCTGTGGTTGAGCTGAACACAGCTGTGGAGTGCCTCCCACGTGCTAGGCACCGCCACTTTTTGCCTGGTCAGGGGCTTAGTCCTCAGGAGACCCTACAGGGCTGGTGTCAGCATTACTCCCATTTGACAGAGGAGGAGACTGAGGCTCAGATTTCACCCACGTAATTGATGCAGCAGCACCTGCCACTCTCCCCAGGCCTACTGAAGATAGAGCTCCCTCGCAGGGGGTAGCCACCAAAGGAGAAGACGTGGGAGTGGTCAGCGGTGACCGGGGTCAGCGTGTCCTCCTCGCTGGTGAGCTGGCCCGCCCTCTCAATGGCGTCGTCGAACATGACCGCCTCAGTCAGTGCCCGGTAGGCCCTGCTTTCGTGATGACCATGGTCGATGCGACCGCCTGCAGGAAGGCCAGCGAGGGTGGTGCTGAATCTGCCCTGCTCCAAACCCCAACCCCCACTCCCCAGGGGCCACCACGCACCCTCCACAAAGAGGAAGAAGCCGCGGGGGTTCCTGCTTAGCAGGCGCAGGGCAGCCTCTGTCATCTCCATCAGGGAGGGGTCCAGTGTGGGGTCTCGGTGGATCTCGTATTTCATGTCTCCGGGCTCAAAGAGACCTGTGGGACAAGGGGTCCCATGGTGACTGGCAGGCTGGGGGTGGGAGGGTGCTGGCAGATGTTTATATGGGTTCAGAAGGTGCCATCTGAGGCTGTCTGAGGGATGCCAGGGCAGGAAGGGGGTCATTACCCATGAGGTGGGTCACGGATGGGTCCAGGGAAGCCTGCATGAGCTCAGTGCGGTTCCACACGTACCGGGCACCCTGCAGGGAGGGAGAGAGCCAGGCCTCAGCCCACAGCCCTGAGCCCCACACCTCTGCCCTCCCCCTGCTGTGCCTCCTGCACCCGCCAGCCCCCATCACCTGCTGCTTTGCCAGCCATTCC